CATCTGAAAGATATGCAGGTACCCATAAGATACTTACCATGTCTCTCCATCAAAGAGCAGGTGGGCTCTAAGAGGCCTCTACCTGAGAAACTTGAAAGGTATTTGCCCTCCCAGTGTTTAGAGAGTGGATTGGGAGACAGTCTTCAGACTGCCTGGTACTGTACTGCCTGGACTGTATTTTCCCTGCCTTCCCTGAACCTTTCTTGACCTAAGAAAAAAAGAAACAAAATATCCCCCTCTAGTGGTCGAAGGCGGAATAGCAGCTTCCCATTAGTTTCTATGGACGGAAAAGAGCAGATACGGATCAAATGGTTTTCAATGCATTCCTATGGGAAATGCAGATTTGACCTGAGAACTTTTTGACTTGAGAACCGCCTTCCAATACGGATTAAGTTCTCAAGTCAAGACCCCACTGTATATAGTGGGGACCATAGCCCCCATTGTCATTTCTCTCACCTTTATATAGGTGTGAGGCGACCAAGGGCCTCATCACACCAGCCAAATGTTCCCCAGTTCTAACAAAATATTCCATACCTTTGTTGTATTGAATCAGGGTCACATGGCAGACATTCCCATTTGTTTATATGTTACTGATTCATTTCTTCCTACTTGAAACATTACAAGTAAGCTACACCATGGTACTGATTTATTTCCTTTCTTGTTTCCTGACTCAGTGCATCCCCTTACTTTATATTTGTAGAGATATGTCATAGATGTTCTTTTAGGGCTAAAGCCCCTAACCCTTGCACCTTATGGCTTGGCTTGATTTCTTGAGCCCTTTGCTTCAGTTGTTGCTTCAATCCCTTTGCTCCAATTGGTTGCTTCCAGTTGTGTTAGGCTGTAGTCTAGATTATGTGGATTGGCTTTGTGGGAAGCTGGGGCACTGACAACCTTACCCTGCAGGGCAAGCTGCCCATAGCACTCACCCTTCCATGTTACTCCTTCCTCAGTGCCCAGTTCCGCCCCACAGTTTCCCCATATGGAATCGCTCTGAGGTTCCTCCACGTGACTCTCACCAGCTCATGCCTCCATCTCTCCCTGCCACCACCCCTGTGCTGAGCCCCGTGGGGCAGGCACACTTCTTCAACAAAGCAACTTACTTCTGGCCACTCTCCCTTCTCCATTTCCCTCAGTGGAATGGAGAATTTCACGGCTTGTCAGGGCTCATATAAGTCTGTCTGTTCTGAAACCTTTAATGGCATTTAAGCTCATAGAAGTCAAGACCTTAACTCATATGGAGACTTCCTCACAGATAGAGTTATTCCTCAACCATGCGCCAAGCAGAGAAACCCGGGGCAGAGGAAATGGGGCTAGAATTCATGCAGTATGGGTATACAGGAATTTGTTGTTTAGTTGTTAAGTCATGTCCAACTCTTCATGAGCCCATGGACCAGAGCACGCCAGGTTCTCCTATCTTCCACTGCCTCCCGGAGTTGTGTCAAATTCATTCTGGTAGCTTCGATGACATTGTCCAACCATCTCATCCTCTGTCGTCCCCTTCTCTTCTGGCCTTCACATTTCCCAACATCAGGGGTTTTTCCAGGGAATCATCTCTTCTCATGAGATGGCCAAAGTATTGGAGCCACAGCTTCAGGATCTGACCTTCCAGTGAGCACTTAGGGTTGATTTCCTTCAGAATGGATCGGTTTGTTCTCCTTACAGTCCAGGGGACTCTCAAGAGTCTCCTCCAGCACCACAATTCAAAAGCATCAATTCTTCAGCGGTCAGCCTTGTTTACGGTCCAGCTCTCACTTCCATACATCGCTACTGGAAAAACCATAGCTTTGACTATGCGGACCTTTGTCAGCAAGGCGATGTCTCTGCTTTTTAAGATGCTGTCTAGGTTTCTCATCTCTTTCCCCCCAAGAAGCAGGCGTATTTTAATTTCGTGGCTGCTGTCTCCATCTGCAGTGATCATGGAGGCCAAAAAGGTAAAATCTGTCACTACCTCCATACTTTCCACTTCTATTTGCCAGGAGGTGATGAGACCAGTGCCCATGATCTTAGTTTTTTTGATGTTGAGCTTACGACCATATTTTGCGCTCTCCTCTTTCACCCTCATTAAGAGGTTCTTTAATTCCTCCTCACTTTCTGCCATCAGAGTGGTATCATCTGCATATCTGAGGTTGCTGATATTTCTTCCGGCAGTCTTAATTCCAGCTTGGGATTCATCCAGTTCTGCCTTTCCCCTATTTGTAAGGCCTTGTTGGACAGCCACTTTGCCTTCTTGCATTTCTTTATCTTCGGGATGGTTTTTGTTGCTGCTTCCTGTACAATGTTACGAGCCTCCCTCCATAGTTCTTAAGGCACTCTGTCTACCAAATCGAGTTCCTTAAATCTGTTCTTCACTTCCACTGTCTATTCATAAGGGATTTGGTTTAGATTATTTTGATTCATTTTGAACTTCAAGGCCAAACTTACCTGTTGTTCCTTTTTTCTCTTGACTCCCTACTTTAGCATTCCAATTCCCTATAATATCAAGAACATTTTTCTTTGGTGTCAGTTCTAGAAGGTGTTGTAAGTCTTCATAGAATTGGTCAATTTCAGCCTGAATATAAGTTAAATAAGCAGGGGGACAATATACAGCCTTGTCGTACTTCTTTCCCAATTTTGAACCAATTAGTTGTTCCATATCCAGTTCTAACTGTTGCTTCCTGTCCCACATATAGATTTCTCAGGAGATAGATAAGGTGGTCAGGCACTCCCATTTCTTTAAGAACTTGCCATAGTTTGTTGTGGTCCATGTAATCAAAGGCTTTTACATAGTCAATGAAGCAGAAGCAGATGTTTTTCTGAAACTCTCTAACTTTCTCCATAATCCAGCTCATGTTAGCAACTTGTTCTCGAGTTTCTCTGCCCCTTCAAAATCCAGCTTGTACTTCTGGGAGTTTTCAGTTCACATACTGATGAAGCCTACCTTGTAGGATTTTGAGAATAACCTTGCTAGCGTGTGAAATGAGTGCAATTGTACGGTAGTTGGAACATTCTTTGGCACTGCCTTTCTTTGGGATTGGGATGTAGACTGATCTTTTCCAATCTTATTTCCACTGCTTAGATTTGCAAACTTGCTGGCATATTCAGTGTAGCACCTTAACAGCATCATCTTTTAAGATTTTAAATCATTCCACTGGAACGCCATCCTCTCCACTGGCCTTGTTGTTGGCCAGGCTTTCTAAGGCCCACTTGACTTCACTCTCCAGGATGTCTGGCTCAAGGTCAGCAATCACACTATCTGGGTTGTCTGGGACATCCAGATATTTCTGGTATAAATCCTTGCCACCTCTTCTTGATGTCTTCTGCTTCTGTTAGGTCCCTAGCATTTTTTTTTCCTTTATCATATCCATCTTTGCACAAAAGGTTCCTTTAATATCTCCAATTTTCTTGAACAGGTGTCTGTTTTTTTCCCTTTCTATTATTTTCCTTTATTTCTCTGCCCTGTACATTTAAGAAAGCCATCTTGTCTCTCCTTGCTATTCTTTGGATATCTGTATTCAATTTTCTGTAGCTTTCCCTATCTCCCTTGCATTTTGTTTCTCTTCTCTGCTATTTGTAAGGCCTCACTGGATAGCCACCTTGCCTTCTTGTATTTGTGTTTCTTTGGGATGGTTTTTGTTATTGCTTCCTGTTCAATGTTTCGAGCCTCCCTCCATAGTTCTTCAGGTGCTCTGTCCACCAAATTGAGTTCTTTAAATCTGTTCTTCACTTCCACTGTTTATTCATAAGGGATTTGGTTTAGATTATTTTGTTTTTTTTTGAACTCCAAGGCCAAACTTACCTGTTGTTCCTTTTTTCTCGTGACTCCCAACTTTAGCATTCCAATTCCCTATAATATTATTTTTCTTTGGTGTCAGTTCTAGAAGGTGTTGTAAGTCTTCATAGAATTGCTCAGTTTCAGCCTCTTCTGCATTGGTGGCTGGTGCATAAACCTGGAATAGTGTGATGTTGAAAGGTCTGCCTTGGATTTGTATTGAAATCATTCTATCATTTTTGAGATTGTATCCCGTTACAGCTTTCCCCACTCTTTTGCTGACTATGAGGGCTACTCCATTTCTTCTATGGGATTCTTGCCCACAATAGTAGATATGATAATCATCTGAGCTGAATTCGCCCATTCCTGTCCATTTTAGTTCACTGATGCCCAGGATGTCGATGTTTATTCTTGCCATCTCCTGTTTGACCACATCCAGCTTACCAAGATTCATAGATCGTACATTCCAGTTCCTATGCAGTATTTTTCTTTGTAGCATCGGACTTTCCTTTCACTTATTTACTTTCACTTAGTAAGTAAATAAGTAAAATACTTAGCATATTTACTTAGAGGTATGGTAAATGAGATCTTCCCAGTTATATATGCATAACCTGTTGCAGCTCTGCAGAACAAGCTTATGTATACTCAGAATGAAATCACATTGCCTGGTTTTTAATATCTAGTAAGCTAAACCCCATCTAAATTTGAATCACTATCTTCAGATGTATTAACCTGTCCACATTGTCTCTGAGAACAATCACATTGGCAGGCATAAGGGACTGGGCTTTTGAAAGTGATGATATTTAAAAATAATTTGTTTTCATGTTCTACTAAACTGTGCTGTAGTGTAAATTGCCAACCTGAAAAGTGGTATACAAATACCTTTAATTAATAAATAAATACATTTCTGGATTGCCTCAATTGTTTGATTACTTGGAATAGTTCACTCAGATAAAACCTGAAAATCTTTGTTTTGCTGACTGTTCATCTCCAGGTTTATTCCGAAGTAAGGCCGATTGAATTTAATAAGGCATACTGTCAAGGAAGGCTGTTTTTAATGCTTTACGAGCCCCACCTTTGTGAGCAAATCAGAAAAACAAACTGTAAAAAAATCCACATGAAAAGAAAATGTATTCTTTATTCTAGAAGGTGGGGGCTTTTACATTGATTATTTTTTAAAGTAAGCTCATTTGTTATCTTTGTTTTCCTCTTCCTAAAGCAGGCATAAAAAGACTCCAGTGTTCATTCTTAGGACATCTGAATAGTTATTTATTGAGAAGCCACAGTCCTCACACTTTTACAACTGTCGGCTTGTATAAGGCAAAAAAGCAAGATGGATCCACTATATTACACAGAAAATAAAAGCTTTTGGAAGGATATGGGGAAAACCCAAGAACATGCAATTTACTGGTCCAAATGCAATGTACATGACAAGATATAAAAACCATTGTGAAAACAAAAGGAGATTTAAATTATGGTTACAATCTACCAAAAGAAATCTTCATATATTGTCATTATTGTTATTATTATCCTTATTATTATAAACACATCTGTATAGTCTAAGATTGTAATTAAAGTTGTCCTTTTTACAAACACAGTTATCGGAACTCTGAACAAAAGTGTAACATTTAGAGGGGTATGACACTGACATAAAACAACTGCTCTGAATCGTAATGTGGACAAGGTGATAAAGGTCAACCCATTTTTGCAATATGGACGACTAATATTCCATTGGTATGTCACTTCTACAAAGTTAGCTGTATATATTGGAGGGTAGTGCTTGGGTATATTAAACAGGAATATTTCCAACTTCTGATTTATGTATTTCCCCTCCCCCAAATGTACAAAAAAGGTGTCCTTTGTAGTAGCCTCAATCTGTTTCAAAGCAGTTGGCATCCACAGGAGAGAAACAAAGATATGAAAGTACTTGTTTCACTTGGCTTCACAACAATTTACCATCAATGTATATACAGTACATTAATGAAGCATCATTTAGACTTTAATTATAACAGGGACACACCTAGCATGTTTTCTATGCAGATTTTGTTTCCGTTAACAGTTTTAAACAATGGTGCTCCATATTGCTTATGAACATATAGATATGAAATTAGGAAACTCAATGAATAGAAACAGAGGTGCTAAATCTTAAGTACCACACAGCTAAAATGGCATTTGTATTGGTAGACTTTCCATGGGCATTTAAGAGCGGACAGAACATTTCCTAATGTGGCTAACTGAATAACAGACTAGATTTACATGCACTGGTTTCCAGGCTACATCCAAGTTGGGGGCTTCTAGTTTTGGAGAGCTAATCATCCTCTTCGTCTTCTTCATCACTGTCTTTCATGGTGATGCCTTGAAGCCCTCCACCTTCACCCACTGAAGCTGTGGCTTCTTCCACAGTCAGCCGGTTTCGGACGGTGTCATAGGTTTTGCTGTTCAAGGTAGAATCCAGAACTCCTTGCAATCGGAAATCTCTGTATGTTTTCTGGGGAGGTTTATATTGTGGAAAAGAGGGTTGGAAAGACCAGAAACAGTACAAATTAGCATTCTTGCAATTAATTCTGTTCCAAATAACAGCTCCTTTACAGAATTGGATATTTATCCAAAGCCATTCAATGGCCAGTGGTTTTAAACCATTGGCCCTGATGTAGGTTAGCTGGATTGGGCCAGAAATGGCTTGTGTACGACTCAAAATTCTTCAGCAAGACAGGAATGAGCTTAGGGAAACCTTTCATGGATCTGTGGTCTCAGTTTGGCTGGATTGATAAGCCCCAGCCCTACCCTTGCCCAGTCAAATGCTGTGGTTTTGTTGTTTCCATCTCTGTAACCACTGGCAGTGCTGTCTCGCCGAAGATGTTCTTGAACTGCATAATCACGAACTCTGAAGTTTGTAAATGTTCTGAGCAATCAAACTGCCTTAAACGTATAACAATGCTATGAATGAGTGATCTCCAAAATGTCCTGTCCTCAACAGCCCTGCTCAGCTCTTGTGAACTGAAGGCTGTTCTTTCCTTTAATCCATCTCATATTTTGCCCTTCTCTTTTACTTTGTCCTTCAATTTTTCCTGGCATTAGTGTGAGTGATTTAATTGTGTGACCTAGCTGATATCTGCAATTCCAAGTTGTTGTTTTTTAAACAAAAGCTTAAGAAAAGAGAGAAGCAACTGCTTCTTTTAACTCTGATGATTGGAAATGTCAAGGTGGAGAACAAAACAGCCTTCTGATCAGAGTTTAGGAAAAGTCCACATTCCCAAAATAAATTTTTCAGCTTGAGGAAAGTGGATGAGTATTAGTACATTATACCAATACATACAATTTAAGAAAAGAGAGAAGCAACTGCTTCTTTTAACTCTGATGATTGGAAATGTCAAGGTGGAGAACAAAACAGCCTTCTGATCAGAGTTTAGGAAAAGTCCACATTCCCAAAATAAATTTTTCAGCTTGAGGAAAGTGGATGAGTATTAGTACATTATACCAATACATACAATTTTAGATTAGGCATCCTTCAGTCTCAAGAGAGTATGTATGGAGGACCTGAAACAGTGTCTAGTGTGGCTGAGAAAGCTAATTTGAGAGTGACAATCCCTTCCACACTGAAGACAAATACAATCTGTTCCCCCATCCAAGTTCCTGATTTTTTCTGGTTTCGGGTCTGCCTCTGCCTCTGCCTGCTGGACTAGTGTCTCTTCAAAATATGATTTGGATAAAGAAGTAATAGGAGAAGAATGGAATAAAATATGGGATCAAAGAATTATGAAGAACATGTCTGTAAGGATAAAAGAAAATTGTTATGAGGTAATATGGAGGTGGTATTTAACGCCGGTAAAACTGAATATAATAAATAAAACCTCACTATGTTGGAGGTGTAAAAAAGAGAAGGGAACGTATATACATACAGTATGTGGTTGTCATGTGAACTAAGAAAGCAAGAATGGAAGCAATTTTTTAAAGAAATAAGAGAAATAACTGGATTAAATATTCAAATGTCCCTGTCAATGGCTTTATTAAGTTTGGTTAAGAAGGATCAATTGTTGAAATAAAATAAGGACTTAATAATAATAATGATTATGGCAACAAGGTTAATTTTTTGCAAGAAACTGGAAAAATGATAACCAACTCAATTTAGAGGAATGGTATAGAGAACTATGGGATATGGCAATTAATAATAAATTGACATGTGATATGAAGATAAGAATAGGCCTATCAAAATAATGATTTTAAGAACATATGGAGTGTATTCTTGGAATATGTATTTTGGAGAGGGAAGGGGTATACATTGAGGGAAGAAACAATGAAGTTCTGGAGAGAAAATGGACTGAATGAAATTTAAAATATTATTAATGCTAGCCCTGAGGGTGATAGTGGCACTGGTGTATTATGTAATTGTTTTTTATTGTGGTGTTAGGTTTATGTCGTTTAGGTCAGATGTTTGTTTAATAATTGTATTTTTAAAAAATGGATCACTCGTACTATCTTATTTGGTGTTGCTTATGTTTTTTGGTGTTGCATTCATCGATCTTTTTCATATTGTATATACATTGTTACTAACTTTTCTCTTTTAATTGTTGTAAGCTGCCTTGGTTCCTTTTTAAGGAGAATATAAACAAGCAAACATGCATTTGCTGTTGTAACACTGCTGCTGCGGATACTGCACATTGCTATTAATCGCAGGTACATATAATTCCTTACAGTTCATTAAAGCTAACTGAAGGCATGTCCTGAAATAAATCTAGACTTCTGCTTTGAAGAGCAGATATATGGACAGGGAAGGAGCCTCCCTGAAGAGTCTGAGGACTGTGAACACATGCAGATGTTTGACGGCAGCCTGTAGGCTGGTCCTTTCACTCCAGAAGCACCACTGGATTGCTTCTGACACAAATGAAGACTTTGAAGCAGGTGTGTTTGACTTGTACAGACCTCACCATTATTTCAGTGCTGTCTAGCTTCAGCCAAAAGCTTCTGGGGACTAAAACAGTCCAAAAGGGATAAATTGGGGAGAACTGGTGGATCAGAAAAAAAAGTTAAATACCACCTGCTACTCTTCCTCTGGTCTTCATACTGGCATTATTGGTGAAAAACGGAGTTGGCAACCCTGTTGTTTGTAACATGTAGTTACACAGCTCCATAACTGACAATGTTAATTCATGACAGGTGAATTACAAACGGCTTGTCGACAAACATTGGTAATTTCTATTTAAACAAGTTTAGTGCCTTTACAATTTTACAGAGTGTTACTGCAACTAAAATATAATGCAACTGTTAATAAGATACACTTGCCGTTTAACACCATGAAACAGTTTAAAGGTGTTTTGAGTATCTACTATGCTTAGATAAATTGTTAATTTTGTTTTAGCTACTAGGTAATCACAATGGCATAAAAGGATTTATCTGTGCTTTTCAGTGCCTTCCAAACTAACACGTAATAATAACGTGGTGCTACTTATTGCTTTTATTTATAAAAATTAAAAGCTATTTTAGTAACTTATTCATTCTCCAGATTTTCAGAATATACAGTTTTGTTCTTCAATAAGATGCATCACACAGAACAACAAATGATCAAATATGTATTTACCTCCTCCTGTGATCTTATTATTTCATGTAAGCTGCTGAGATTTCACACTGAAATAATTATCATGTGTTCAAAACACACACACATGCATGCACTCATGCACACATGGCTACATTCCATTTGCAATCTTTTCTCAAAGACTGTATACACCTATTACTGTAAAAGAAGTTATTTATATTTACTTTAATTCCTATCTGCATTTCTAAGAGTAACTTCAGTGATCCTGAAACTTCAGCATAATCAGCAATCNCCCAGTTGTACATAAATATCTGGTTGGGGTAATTATCTCAGGCTAATAGTTTTAACTCTGAGATTATATCTAAGCAATGACTTAATCATGATTTGCCAATTCAGATGACACAAGAAACTGTGGCTGAAGCAAATTAGGATAGAAGCATGAAAACTGCATTTAATGGGAAAGAAGACAAGGGAGCACAGAAACCTGAAACTGTTACATCAGAAATGGGCCACAGTGTTACAAACAGTGCATTCATCCTTATTAGTTTAGCATCTGTTAAATTATCTTCCTATGGATTAATTCATATAAAATACTTTGATGTGATAATAGAATTTAGCTTAGTGCTTGAAATGGTTTCGAGTGCCATCTATGACATTAGTGCAGCGAAGCCAATCATACACCTGCAGTTATCAGCTCTTGGTGCCTCGGGGTGTCTTTTATCTTGATTTTGTGGCTTTTCTGGAAATATTTAAAGAGTTTTAAAGAAAGTATTGAGTGTCCTTCCTTTAGATGGGTGGACACACTTTCATATTCATCATAGCTGGGTGTGCGAAGGGTAAATACTGTTGAACTTTGCTTTTTAAATGGTAGTGTGGACTCTGCCCAGAACTTGAGCAATGGTTATATAGAAACCAGCTCTTTTAGAAAGGGTTTCTCCCAAGTGTAGTCACACCTCGGATGCTTCTCTGTGGCCCAGGAAAGAACTATGCTGCAGATGAGTCTCATGCCGTCACTGATTGCAGTGTCTGCTGGCAAGCAGGGCTAAATTCATGGTGGGGACATGGGCATGAATTAAATGCCTGTCCCCATGAATATCCCCAGAAAAATAGACACATTTGTGCACTGAGCACAAAGATCTGAAGATGACTCTGAAAGTGCATTTGGCAGAACATTTTTACAGAGCCCCCACGATCAAGAACATGGCTTTTTCAAGGAACATAAGTGTATTCAAACATACTTACAGATTGCTCTTCAAACCTTTGTGTTCAGTGCATTAAGGCCCACCCTCACTTCTTTGGTGGTGGAGATGTTCATAAAGTAAGACTCATATGAGTGCCAGCAATGTGTGTGCAAATTTAGCCCTATGCGCAAGCACAGGAACAGCTGCGTAGGCTCGTATTGGGTCAACTTCAGACTTGTAGTAAGCATGAAAAGCAGATAATACAGTGAAGCATTATTTATCATATGGAGACCATCTTCTGTACCTCTTCCACCACCATGTTCTTGAAGGAGTAGCTTCCTTATTCCAACCATATCACATATCGCCATATTATCTAAGGAAGGGGATGCAGATCAGCAAATTGTTCCCACTAGTCATTCTGTTTTGTCTGGTTTCCCACTGGTGATGGAGCACTGCTCACTCCTCATTTTCCTTCTCTTGTGTGAAAATGTGTTTCCTCCCAGAAATGAAACAACATACACAATACTATAAATATAGCAGGCTTACCTTTACCATCCTAATGAGAATTTTCAGTTGGTAGATGTGAAGCTGAAGGTCCATGCGATCTGTCAGCCAGGTGCAAATAACATTCATGGAGCTCGTGTACCATTGCTGCAAACAAACAGAGGTCCTTCAGGGAACATGTCCAAAGAACATCAAAATGACATGCCATATATGAACATGGTTCAAGATAACTGGATCCTGTCAAATTTGACCTTTTCCAGTTTGCTAGTAACAGAAATAAGATAAGTATAGAGAAAGGACATAACATACTTTTTTGAACATAGGCGTTCAGCGACCCTTGTTTCAGTACCTGACTTAGAATCAATCAATAAATCCACCCTCTTACATAATGATTTTCAGCTTCTTACAGCCCTAGCATCTCTCTCTCTCTTTCTCTCTCTCTTAAGCATCCCTTAATTTGGCTCTGATTAAGTACTTCTTCCTACTGCAGTGCCAACTTAAAATGGTGTCCTTTCCCCACTGCTCCTGGATCAGGTCTTTGCTGCAAACTGAACTTGGCATGATAGCCTTACAGAAGTCCAGAACAACTACACATCTCTGATTCCTTCTAATAAAAAGGCTGCCTTTACCTGTGCCTTTAATAGCAGGAGTACCTGCTGAAAGTTTTACTTACTAAATTCCTTTGTGGCACTACTTAAGTCACAAAAGTCCTGCCAGCAGCTCTTGTCAATCTTGGTTGTAAATGCTACAGCAGGTGTGCACACTGAAGCCCATGTCCTTGCATGTGCAACCATGGCCACAGGTTACAGCCAGAAGTAGCTAATGAAACCTAGTTGTGTTTTTCCTTCTTGAAGGAAAGAGTGTCAGAGTGTCCTTGGCTGCCAAGTTCACTGCAGGATCCAGGGTGTGACCGTGTGTATTGTCAGGCTTTCCCCCACATTTCTCATTAGATTTGCACATCAATTTAAGAGGGCAAGTTTTTCGTTCTGTAACTTACTCTCAATTACTCAGCTCTGCCTTTTTTCAGACTGTCACAAACAGAATGTTCTCATTCTCTTGAAGGCTTTTGGGCACAGGCTACCTCATAAATATTTATCATTTCGGCTTTGCATCTCAGGGTAATGAGGATGTCTTGTTTAACACACGCCGCTTGTTCATTTCCATCCATGTAACCCTGCGGTCTTTTCAATCCCAAGGATGGCTAAAGTGATGCAATTTGCTTATGGCCACAAAGATTTTTCAGGAATTAAGTGATTACCATGTTTGCTTTCCTGCTCCACAGCATTTATTTTGAACAGATTCAATTCAGATGTACTGCTCATGGAGTTTAAGATGGTTAAGCTTTTCTCAGCTAAAAGAAGAATAGGAATATACTACTTTCAAACTTATAACATTTTGTTAGTTGAAGCATGATAGTTCTTGCTCAACTAAATTGATACATAAAACATTGTTACCTCCATTAGGTTAATGCAAATAGCATGACTTGGAGACAAATCGCCTCGTGTTCAGAAATCACTGTAAATATTATCTGCTGCATACTGAGTTGCATAACTCAGTGTACAACAGATAATATCTAGGGTGATTTCTTAATCTGAAGCAATTCCCTTCTAAATGTTGCACCATTTGCCTTACACTAGTACATAATTCTAATAGGATTTTTTTGCCACAGTAATTACCACCCTAAGGTCCACTGAACAAAATAGTACTTTATTCTGAAAGTAGGCTTGCTTTGTTAATCTGCTGAACTGAACAGTATAAATCTATGCAAATCTACTCTGAAATAAATCTTATTGGTTTCAATGACCCATACTCTTAAGTAAGATGATATAGGACTGCACTCTTAGTAATGGGGAGATGAATTCAGTACATTCTACATATCCAACATATAACTGGGAAAAGAAATGGTTATACAACCTACTTATAATACAGCATACTCATGTAGCGTATAACTGGAGCACGTACAAAGAAACTGTAACTAATAGCTAATTGTCACTAGTGTCGAATTCAAATCTATTTGTTGCTCACATTTAGAGCAGACACACTGAATGAATGGGATTTGTCAACACTCGCATCTATTGAACCATTGAGACTAATCTATTTGGGAGTAACAACTCAGTTTTCCAACAAAGACTGCAGCAGAATACTTTGGTCTCAGTATGACATTTGCAAGAGCATTCTCAAGGCTGGGTTGCAAGGCTGCAATGTGCACCAAGGTGATGTCCCCCAGATGTTTTTGGCCTGCAGTTTGGCTTCCTCTACTGTAAAAAAAAATGCATCTACAGTATATCTGCATGTCCAGCACAAGAGTAGCTTCATAAAGAATAGCATTCTTTACTTGACATTTCATGCTGAGAAGACCAAATTTGGATTCTTGTGACTGCAGCTTGGATTGTCGTATGAGCAGGATTTTTCTCTTAAAAATCAAGGCTAAGGGCTTTTTCAAACATACAACTGGAAAGATATGGATTCACAGCCAAATGGGAGCTCTATGTGATATGTATCTTCATCTTCATCTTCATCTTCATATTCCAGGACGTCATGAGAGGGGTGACGGCTGACCTGGCTAGTGCTCCTGTCGACGCTCTGGTTGACAACTGGTCTGCCACTGCCACCAGGGCCATAGACACGATTGCGCCTAAACGCCCCCTTCGTCGTAGAGCTCGGCCCGCACCCTGGTTTAACGAGGAGCTTCAAGTGATGAAGCAAATAAGGAGAAGGCTAGAGCATAGATGGAGGAAGAATCCGATGGATCACAATTGGATAGCTGTTAAGGTCGCAACTAACCTTTACCTGAATAAGGTAAAGGCCGCATATCGATCATTCTTCGCTAACCGGATAAGCGAAGCGTCCAACCAGCAGGTGGATTTCTTCCGTATAGTGCGCGATCTATCCGGAACTGGTTCAGATGATAGGCCTCCCCCTAGTTTTTTACTTGACTAGTTTGCAGCCTTTTAAAAATCTAAACTGGAGGCCATCCACCGGGAGCTCTCTCCTTTTTTGAATACAGTGAGTCGAGCTGAGATGCCCAGCGCTCTGTCTTGCCCGGTTATTTTCGACGCCTTTCACCTTGTGACACCTGATTCTGTGGACAAGGTGCTTGATCGCTGTCAAGCCATCACCTCCTCCCTTGACCCTTGCCTGGCCTGGCTAATCAAAGCAGCCAGGCCAAAAACAACAGAATGGGCCACAGCAATAATAAATGGGTCTTTCCTTGAGGGCAGGTTTCCATCTGCCC